GCCCGCTACGCCGCTACGCGCTTTCCGTAGATGAGCCGCCTCAATCTGCAGTCAGGTATAAATTATAAAAGTTGAAATTTAGTTTTGTGTACACACTAACTTTTGCAAAAGATTTTCCGATGTTTATATATTCATATATTACCTAATTGCCAAACACTATCGAGAGATAGTGATATTTTGTTGTCATTTATTTACATTACATATTTGGATCATATGCTTTGATTTGCCATGCTGACACCAAGCAGTAGAATTTCATTACAAATAGTTAGCTATTTGTCTACAATTATTTTTTTCTTTTTAATATTCTAATTTAAATAAATTGATTAATTATTTTTATTTAGTTACTAATATTAATTATACTAGATCAGCAAATGCCGATACTTGGTAAGTATTAGTAATTCGCAATTTGAAAAGCTTTATTAGCATCTTTCCCGTGGATACTTGAGGTACTTACTTTGCATGCAAAGAGAGCGGCGGCTTGGCGCTCACTTCACCGTGTAATTCAACAAGCAACATACTGCGCTTTAAAACTTTTTTGTTTTCGAATTTAATAAACTAAGTACTACAGAATTTAGCCCAGTGATTTAACTTGTTTTTTAAAAGAGCGCAAACGAAATAAATCCTAAACTTCGTTTGAGCTTTTGTTCTGTAAAATGCAAGTACTTGAGCTTTTTAACATTAAGCTTTTGTTACTCTTTTTTTATGAACGATTGTTTTTTGTTATAAATAAACTATTTGATCCTGTTATGTAATTTACCGTTACATTGTAACAGGTTATGTTTATAGCAAGTCTTCTCCTAATTTAAGCTTAAACTTAAAAAGCTAGAACTTGAAAAACTCGAATTAACTTTACAGTGTTTAAGCTCATTTAAACTTATGTGATGAAATGTTTAGTTTCCAGTTATAACCGCCATAAGCCCACTCAATGAGGTACAAGTCTACCTACCAGCCGTTGATGTAAACGATAAAATGTTTTTTTACAACTATATGTTTTAAGTTTAAACATTAAGTGTGTTGCGCAGCGCGAGCGCCGCGGAGTCTGAGTGCGGATCGCAGTCGTCGCTGGCACTGGACCTCCACGGCAGCGGCGCGTGCGCAGCTGTTACACTGCGCGTCTGCGACAACACGCGCCGCCGCCCCCTCGCCCGCCAGCAGCGCCTGCGGGAAGACACCTTGTTTCGTGAGCAACATTATGTCTCTAACAATACTTTCGCATTACATTAACTCCGAGTTATTTGTTAATATCCGGACCATTTGTGTGGATTTCCTACACCCATGGTGACCACTTGACATCTCTGAGTGTGAAAACTAATGGAAAGTATTTAATTTTTGTTTCAGCTTTATCTGGTGAAAATATCAGCACTATTAATTGTATTGAAGAATCAACCCCAAGGTAACACGTTACATCCATTATTATATGCGAACATCATTTTTATCACTCCTATGTCAATTTGTCCAATGGACTCGGTTCAATTCGGGGCATTCATGTTGTGGAATATAAAACTGTAATTTGTTTAAAATATGTATATATTCATACATAATAAAACCTGCGGAATTACTAGCATAGTTTTTAGTATATATTATTTTAGTGCCTTTGTTTTGTTTACGTACACATAGCTCGTAGCTCGTATTATAGGTAAGTATTAAAATATAGTCTAAAATGTTTATGTACACAGAGTAATAGAAAGCGACATACCTGACGCAGTTGTAATGGAGCACCTATCAGTGGATCAAGAAATGCGATCTTGCAGTGCTCCTCCGCCCTGCCTCAACACGCCCCCGGCCCCGGCGACACCGCTAGAGTCTGTGCAAATGTCTCCCTTTCCGTCCGCACAAACTTGTATACTAATCGACGAACCTGAAGAGACGTTACCTGAAACACAACAAGATCTAAATACAATATCCGAAACATAAACCTACGTGTTTGCTGTCTGCAAATAAGATTTACTCAGAACGAAAACGTTGAATCTTTTCAATTGTAAAGACCACGCTGCCTTTAATGTACTACGAAATGTTTTCCTATTTTAACATTCTTATATTACTTAAATATTTTTGTAAATTTTAATATATTTGGTTTTCATAAATGTTTATAAAGTTACATGTAAGATAGTACGTATTTTTTTAGAGGCCGCCGTCATTACTTGTTATTCCTCACATTTTGGTACAGCTATTTCTATGTTTTATCTGCATAATTAACATAAAATTTTACTAATGTAAGTAAATTTACATCTAATCTATTTACTCCTCACTGTGAATATGTAAGAAACTACTTTTTAGAAACCCTTTGTTAAAAGATAAAAGACTGATAAAAGCGAATTTTGTAAAAAAAGATACTAACCGCATAATTATAATGTAATTAAAACAAAGAAGACTTAATAACTATATAACATTGCTGAAAATGTATATCGTAATAAGTAAATATAAATGCAGTTTCAAAAGTAGATTTAGCTGTAGATGTTTATAAACTTGTGAAGTGTTTAAGTTCACAAAAACACAAAATCTTGTCCATTGCCATACGTTTTAATAGGATTTTTAGTACTTTTTAAAAACTATATGAACTTTACATACACCTCAGATTTACGGTGGCCTCTTTAATAATGTTAACTTAGAAAACCCTTAAAGTTAATGTGTGTAAAATGTGATAATTATATCTAACTGTTTGTTAAATGTGCCATCGATGTCAGTGTAGATACTGTAGAAGCAATAAAAGGTAAGTTAGGTCATAGAATTGGTTTTTGGCACACTATAATAATTTAGGAACATGTATAACGTATTTAGTGTTTTTTAATATGTTTATGAAAGTATAGTCTACATAAAGTGTTTAGTAGATAAAACCCATGCGTTCAAATGTCGATGTTTCACTTCATATGAAGTGGCAAATGTACATATGATATGACATTATTATTTTGTAAATAACGTTGTTTAAAGTGTAACATACTCCCTTCACTAACTATGCTCATATTCGGTACCGTCAACGGCTCTAAGGAAAGTACATTTTATATTCTATGTTCACAATATTCACAACTGGTGATTATTAAATGTTTATAGGTTATAATGGAATGTTCATTTAAATTTAACTTATTTAAAACAAACGTGTTTGAAATATTCCTTTGCTTTTAATTTAATTCGGAACCGTTTTGTATTGTACATAACTTAATAAAGAATTGCAGGTAAATCGTATTTCTGCATTAGGATTTTTTTACTTATTATTATTTTTAAAATATTTCGTTACTATTTTGTGTCGTGGCAACCATAGACATTAAGAATAAATGTACGCAGTTTTATATAAAACTCTCACTCTTCTAAATATTTTTAAACACGCGAATCCTTTTCATAAGTAGTTTAAAGCATTTTATTAACATTTTTATACAATCAATCAGTTTTTATATGGTGGAGGAACATACAGCATACTTCGATGTTTCATTGTGAGGTACTCGTAAGGAAAAGTAGCATGTATTTGATCCAAATGGTTGTTGTGATGTCTATTAAAGTTGTTGATTAAGTTGTTTTTTATTACTTTATCTTATTAATGATGATAATTTTCAAATGGTGATGATTTTATTAATAAGAAATGGGACAAAGTAATTTCATTTATAATAGTAGAAATTATGAACGAGGCAATAAAAACTGTAATATAAATGGTTGATTGAGGTCGATTCTGTGGACAATTTTGATAACTTAAATTATTTGCATGCACTTTGAACTTTTCCTCTAAAAATACTGTGCAATAATACGGTTTGAACAAGTTGATCGTAATATCTACATTCATATTTTAAGATGTCCTAGAAAAACATGCGTTCTTTGTCCAAAAGTAAAATTCAATGAAGTATTAATAGACCTAACTCACATCAGTACTTTATATGTGAAAATTAAATACATAAGTAAATATTGGTGTATGCAAATCGGCCCATTTGCATACAATACCTATATACTTATACCTATATGGAGATGTGTCATGAGACCGCGATTAGATCAATCTTGTTAGCATGATTACGAATCAACTAAGCGGTTTAAACCAATATTCTGTTTTTATTACGTATACTAATCTAAATACTTACTCAATATCCATATTCATCGCCAGGTACATATACATTAATTATGACACTAATCTTAAGTATCAAAATCATTTCAATTCATCTTTAATTAAAAAGTTTTAAGTGTAAAATATTGCCGAGTTCAAAATTATACAATTTAATTTGGAAGCGTAATGCGAGTAATTGCTATTTTTGACCGACTTCCCAAAAGAAGGA